GGCTTCTGAAATCGTTGTGTACAGTAAATCTAATCGCCTGGAAGCAAATATTTGTAAAAGATTATCTCACTTGCTATGAAATAAATCACCCCTTTGGTGTACCATTGACAGTCTGCCACTGCTATCTGCCTGGAAATAAACAGTTGTGTTGATGAGGCTTTTTCCGGAATCACCAATCTCAAAAAAGTGTTTGTTTTTTAGCGCTCACAACTAATATCTGTTTGCCTTCCGCTTCTTTAGTCCAACAATCTGCTCGTTATGTGATAGAGGGCTTTGGTTTTTCTCTCTAAATTTCGTCATTTGTCTGCTGACTCATTGGGCTGTAACGAGTAGTGTTAGTTCTGCCACAGTGCGACAATCTCCCGTGGGAACATTCGCAACCAGCCGTGATCGCAACAACAACAACGTTTCACCAATCTCGCGTGCGCATGCGCACTTGTGATCACGCATTGATTCTCTTCTTAGCCAAACCTGAATAGGCAGAATATGGTGAGAATACATTCATTCCAGAGCGGTCCGTATCTGCCCCTTGATGGTAAATCGGATTAGCGGTTGGAACAATGACTCATTGGGGAGAGATTTCGTGTGAGGTATGAATTTTATCAAGGCTTAGACTTGGAAAATCCTCTTTCCAATTTGCTTTGGGCTAGACAACCACCAAAACCTCATAGCCCTCACGTCCGGTCCAAACAGATAGATCTCAATAAAATTCTTTTTTTGTCATCAAAATCGATTGAGTTGTGCCTGTGCTATTCGGGGAGTTAGTGTCTACCGTTACACTGTTCCCCTTTTCGGGGAAACAAACGCCGTTTCTAGCGTGAATTGAGAATTTACGAAATCTCATGAACATATCTGCCCCGGAAGATTGATGTACTGAGAACGAGATTATGGAAAATACGCGCTGTTGAAAGCTGGTATTCAGACGTGTACGAAGCATTTTCTTCGCTACGTCTATTCTATCGGGGTCTTTTGTAATTCGTCACGGCAACTCTCATGGCTAGGATGGTCGGCGCCATTGAGCGAACACTAACTCCATGGTGAATTTCAGATGAACATTGTGAATTTTATTTACAGGTTTTCAGTAATAGCGATCTGAGCTTGTCCGTCGTGCTGTTAGCGTTTTCATCCAACTGTGACAGTACTATTTCTACACAATTTCAATACAGGTTCCGTCGAAACAAATCATCTATCTATCTATCTATCTATCTATCTATCTATCTATCTATCTATCTATCTATCTATTCTTAATCTATCTGTCTATCTATCTATCTATCTATCTATCTATCTATCTATCTATCTATCTGTCTATCTCAATGTCTGTCTATCTATCTATCTATCTATCTATCTATCTATCTATCTATCTATCTATCTATCCTTTGTCTATCTATCTATCTATCTATCTATCTATCTATCTATCTATCTATCTATCTATCTAATCAATCTATCTATCTATCTATCTATCTATCTATCTATCTATCTATCTATCTATCTATCTATCTCTATCTATCTATCTATCTATCTATCTATCTATCTATCTATCTATCTATCTATCCTATCTTTTTATCTATCTATCTATCTATCTATCTATCTATCTATCTATCTATCTATCTATCTATCTAGTATCTATCTATCTATCTATCTATCTATCTATCTATCTATCTATCTATCTATCTATCTATATAGCGATCTGTCGGTGTCTATCTATCTATCTATCTATCTATCTATCTATCTATCTATCATCATCACATGATCAATTTTGGAAACCGACATTTATTTCATCCCTGCCACCCACCCCACCCCACCCCACACGCGTTCCCTTCTCTACACCACCAATGTCGGGTAAATAGCGTGCATGCTGAAGTCGAGCCAGGCCAAGATCAGATGGATGCTCAGTGGGCTGATCGATACGAAGCCACCAGTGCACCAACCCGGGAATACGAACGGGATCAACGCAATCAGCCAAAATCGCCGCCACAATTCGCCCAACAACCTGTGATCAGCAGCTCGGATGTGCTCGAAGGCGAACCGGTTCGCATTGAAGCGCATTTGGTGCCCACCAGTGATGCTACACTACACGTTGAATGGCTACGTGATGGTCAGCCTGTGGGAACCGGTAAGTACTTTAGCGAGGGCCGGGGTGTGTATTATTATGAAGCGCTAACTCTTCCGGAACTCTCCATGAGCTGCGGTGATTTAGAGACACGAATAAACTTCTCATCTGTCAGGTATCTATCCCGTTTGCCAATATTCGTCGAGCAAAAGAAAAATGAACTGTCACACAACAATAAGTGGGAAACAATACACCAGATCGGAGTCAAACGGACAGTAAATTAAACAGCGAATTACGTTGTTGTGTCTGTACTCTTGAACAGCTGTGAATAAATTCCCAGAGAATGATTCTACTGTTCTATCTTCTTCCTTCTCTTGTTCCAGGCAGTCGATTCAATGCCGTCTTGGATCGTGGTTTGGTCGTGTTGGAGATCGGTTACTGTTTGGCAGAGGATAGCGGTCACTATGTGTGCGTGGCTTCAAATGCTCTGGGCCAGGAACAAAGTCATCCGATTGAGCTGAGGTAATTCGATGCACACGAGAAAATGCAATACTGACCAATGCTTTCAGAATAGGACGTGTTGGATGGGAGGGAACAGAAAGAGGAGGGAAATTGCATTTGCTTTATTTTGGATACTATTCTTTGGCATAGCTTTTGTCGTTTATTTATCTATTCACGGGGTAATTTGCGTCTACTACTCCGGGGTTTTAAATTTGCCATAACTGAATACAAATAACCGTGCCTAGTTTCGGTGTTACTTTTCCATTTGACGAGGTACAAAGTGATGATGCTAATGAAGCGTAGACCCTTGTAGTACTCTAACTCATAATATCCGCATTTGTGACTTGCACTGTCTTTGTATTAGTCTAAGTGGATGGCCACGGGACCGTGACCAACTGAAAACCGGTCACGTAGAGCACTGGTATGTCCGAATTCCAGTTTCAAATTAGCAGAACGATGACTCATCGGATACATTTTTTCCCCTCAGACTGCTTTGTGTCAGGCCTTGCTTTATTAAACATGTGAGAAGGAGGACAGTGTAGAAGTAGAAACATGTGATTAATTCAAGCTATTTTCAGTCCTTTCCATACATTCAGACTTTACTTTCTATGGTTGTATATAGAAGGTCTGCCGCTGGCTTTGCTACTGCTGTTTGTATTAAAAAACAAAATACAAACAGGAAGTTCGATCTGCACAATCTAATCGCACAATCCCTCCCTATCTCTTGTCTCTCGATCTAACAACACCAAATTCATCCTATTTCGACATTGTTGAGCTCGTCACTCCACATGCGTGGAATTACGTTGCCGGTTCCCAATAAGGGGCATATGTGAACGTGGTCAAAAGTTTCCTTGCCTTCTAA